AAAGCACGTCGAAGAGGTCGACAAACGGTACACCGCCATCATCGCAACGATAAATTAATGGTCGGCCTACCTTGTCAAGGCTATGAGTGTGTGCACTTGAGCAAACACTTCAAGAGGAGAGATGAAACAAAAACTTGATAACATAACTCATTCATCAAAAAAATAATCACTCAGCGGAGTGAAATGAAAATTCGCTATTAAAAAATATTCATTTGATTAAAACGATTTTATTTTGTTGAACAAGTGATTAACTGATATGATTAACTGAAAACAACGATTTCAACAACAATAACAGAGGCCAGAAAAGAAACACGGATAAATTATTAACAATTCAATACTAAACAGTTCTTCTTCTATTCACTTGAATGAGCCGATATATACCACGAATTATACCAGGAATGTGCACAACAATTTCGTTTAGAAATTATCAGATGACGAAATAAAGAGAAGATATATCAAACAGAAACTCCATTGAATATCATGATTCTATATCACAATTCTTAAAATAATTTAACATCGTTCGATAACATCAACATAAGCATTCACGTTCTTACTCAATATCAGCGCTGTTTCAATGCTCACTTTTAAAAATATTTTGCAGTTCTCTTCAGCTGACTTAATCTTGTCTAAAACTGTTTTCTTCACTTGACATTTTCATACTGAACGGCTTAACAAATTTCTTTTCATTAGCAATATTTGGCACATCAAACTAATCCACACTTCCCCTCCTATCAACAGAGTGAGCTGTGCTCCTATGGCCTTGCTAAAATTTTATCTAAAAGTCAAACGTCGTACAATACTATTCTCGGAAACTGTCATATGCAAGAAACAGCACTGATCCAGCAGAATGATAAACTCACCGATACATATTCACATAAACAACATCGCTGCTCACCCGCTTACTGCTTACTCTCTTTACCGTGTTTAGAACCTCGTTTGAAGAACGAAAATGCCCTCTTCTCTGAAAATAAAACATGAATTGTTGTAGTCACATAGTACACAATATGTCTCACTTCAAACTGATATGGAATCACCATATTGTAAGCAGTACAATTATAAAATTTAAAACAGACCAAGCAAGTTTAAGAGAACAACAAGCGAGAAAGCTTGAATATCTCAGAATGTAAATGCGATTGGGAATTGTTTCAAAAAATTACTTTTAACAGAATCTGTTTCATCAGATTGTTGCTGTTGTTGTGAATGAATCGTACTGTTATTCGATGATTGAGAATTAACCCAAGCGATAAAGTCACTTCCGTCTCCTTTCGCCTGTTTTCCAGACGATCCAGAGTCTGTTGAGCCATGATGTCCATTTGCGTCACCGTTTTGCTGAAAGCATAACGATGAGTGAGTGAATTGCGAGCGATCAGAATAATCAACTACACAGATTTATCATTTAACTCAAAATGTTGACGCAACATGAAGATGTTTCGTTGAGGAATGTCGACAGTGACCATCCGAAGATAAGCTAAAGCAGAATGCTAGATCGTAATTTAACACTCACACTTCCCTCAGCGCTTGCACTGCTTCCTTTACGCTCTACATCACGCGAAGTTGTTGTTGTTAATGTGTCCTTGACGAGCATCGAGCCAGTTGCATTACCTGAACGCATCAGTGCATTGAATACGGTAAGATGTTGCAGTGTTCAATTGATATTTAATTTTTCGCATCAAAAGTCACATCTCAGTTCTCATGTTGGCTTCAATTAGTCTTTTCTATCTCTGCCGAAAAATACCCGGCTCGGAACGAACTTCATATAACCACTATGATAAAGCAACAAGAAATTTAAAGTTTCACGCTAAGGGATTGTTGTTATATGAATGACTCAAGAAAATCTGTGACTGCAACGTAAAAGTTGGTCTTTTTTGCAATTTCTCACTCTATCAACGGTTCCTTTCTGATCATAAACCTGTCAAAATGGTTGCGATGAAAAGCAAAATTTAGTGAAGTGTTAATGGTAAGGTCGTTATTTGCATAACAGTAGCAAAATGACAATCAAGTTAATCGTTGTGTACGATGACAAA